CTGCCTCACTCTGCTTAACCATAGGCAGAACATTCAATAGACACAGTTGTCTCCATTACTCACGGAGGGAGATATTAGCTGTTGCATTTCTAGCCATCATGCAGGTGTTGAAGGCAAGCAACATCTGTGGCAGGCATAACTGCAAAAAGCAAAGCAACCAGAGCAATAGAAATGTACCTGATGTTTTGTTGATTTATCCCCTTTATTCTCTTATTTCTTATGTTACTAAATGCAAGACAGATCCTGGACAGCAATCCAGTTACGCAGTTGTTATATTTCTATTACTAACATTAAAATTTAAAAGCACCACAATTGTGCAGAGCTATCTTTTTATAAAGGAGCTGCACCAAGGTGACCTCAGAGAAGCTTCCTAATTTTGTGAGTAAATGTGGAGCCGTTTACAATTAGGTAATAAGTTAAACAGAGGTAGAAACTTGAGTAACAGAAAACTTTCTACTGTAGGTTTACCTAGGGATAACAAATTACATGTGATGAATGACAGGACTGCCTCATAAGAGGCTGGCCAGGGTTCAAATCAAATATGTTTCACAAGAGTTAACACAGTGCTTCAAGGCTGAGTTCTGAAACGATTTGGCTCCCAGACTTTGGGACTTGCTGCCGGCTGCCTGCCAGTTGCCCCTCTACCTTCTGACAAAGACCTTTTTATCCATGGAGACCTTGACACTGGCTGTGGATGAAGAGGCTTTAACTATTTGGGTGCCGGCTCTTATCTTTTCTTGCTGTATGTTTGATTTTTCTTTCATTTTGTGCTTTAAGCAAGATTTCAATTATGTTTTTGCCTTTCTTAAATATTCTAGATTTCTACAATTGCTACAACTTTCCACAACTGTCTTGTCACAATGACACGTTGAATGTCCCCTCTTTTTTTTGAGAGAGAGAAATGCAGGATATTAACATATTAAATAAATCTGGATGGCAAGTGCATTTACTTACTCACTCACTCACTCACTGGAATTGTAACTTGCTTTTCTGCCAAACAATGCAGCTGGGAGGGATACAAGAACAGTTCAAATATAAACCACTTTTAAAACATATTTTCTAGAAGAAAGGAAAGGTTATCCTGCCCAACAGAAAACAGAACCAACAACTTCAATCCCATGTTTCACAATCTGCTGGACTGACTGTAGAGAAGCCCAGGTTACCTCTCTCAGAAGCCAGACTTAATACAGGGATTTCCAGATACAGACCCTTTAAGAACAATCTGCTGTTTGGCATATTGCAGCATGATTCTGTCAGTACAATAATCTTTTGACTCCAGCATGACAATAGACAGTGGACCCTCTAACAGTGAGAGCACTTGGGAACAGTGTTCAAACTGGTGCTTGTCTGTCCCAGTAATTTTATATGTCAAGTTATTAGAAACTGCTATTTCCTAGCCTCCATTCTCTGAAAAGCATTCACCGATTTTTGCAAGTCAAGCTGCTGTTAAAAGGAACAAAAAAAAAGGGGGGGGGAGCAGAGTAGGTTGGCTTCTGTGATCATCTTCCACAACCCCAATTGGACTGCACACCAGATAAGCAGTACTGCACACTAAAGAAAACCTCCACCAGGTAATCTGACTGTGAATTTATCAAAGTTGGCCTTCCCTGGTGGTTAAATTAAATTTTATTTCCAGCTCTCTGGTGGAGGCCTGTCATGCCATATGACTGTGTTGCCTCCACCCACCCACCCCTGGCCATATAGAAGCCTATAGCTTCAACAGAAAGACTATACAGTAACGGGGGGCTCTTTGTTTGCAGAAATGGACACAAACTCCAAGATTCTACTTGATGCTCCTTGAGGGGGAATTTGCCCCCCAACCACTCCACAAGCTGTTTGCATTTCTCCTCAAGAATGATTACTTGGCATGGACTGCAGCAATATTGCCAAGAAACTTTTGAAACTGCCAGAGGAAGATGGAATATGTTGCCATCAGAAGTTTGCAATCTACAGTACTTGATTTTCCCAGGGTCTAATAAACCTATCATCTGCTTCTGCATCCAGTAATATGTCATCACTAAAGTAGGCCCAATAAATCAGTGGAAATTTGGTCAATACCTATGCAAATCCCATTGATTCCACTGATTCAATGTCCCTTCTCCAGCTGATACTTTCAGGCAGTAAACCTTTCCATTCAAAATGGAAAGTTAACTACAGTATTTTCAGCTTTTTCCAAGGGACTATTTGTTTTCTAAATAACCTAGATTGAAAAAAAATAAGCAAACACCACTTTCACGAGCTTATACAAGAACTACCCATCTGGTGATATTATCATTTTTTTTATCTGAGGTTCGATGGCCCCCATGCCCCTCTGGAGGTGGCACAAGGGAGCAGGAGTTGGGATGATGCAGGGAGAAGGACATAAGGCACTTTCCCTTTATGAATGTCCTCAAGTGGGTGCAATCCGATATGCAACTCACCTGGCAGTCACTCCAATGGAACTCAACGGGATTTCGTTCCGGGTAGCGATTAACTGGGTGATTATATACTTTTTTTCCCCGCTGATTCTGTTGTGTGATAATTTCCCCCCACCCCGGCAGTCCAACTACAGTACGTGTCTCGCCCTTATTCCTGGCAGCAGGACCAACAGAAAATTGACACCTTCCCCCACCTACTGCCGGGGGGGGGGAGGAGGAGGGAGGTTTCACCTGTTGAATATCTGGCTGCCACGCAACGAGAGTCCCAAAAGAGGATTTCCCCTAATCCTTTGGTTATAAAAGTAGTGCAAGCTTGTGCTGTACAACTCAATGAACTATATCGGGGGGGGGGAAGCAAAAGGGCGCTTCCCCACCCCCACCCCTAACCTAAATGGATTATCTCGTGTTCCCAGAAGGACGCCCTCTTTGGCTGACATAACGCTGCGCTGTTTCCCGTCAACACCCAAAATTGAAATTGTTTTTGCAATGAACCGTCAACCTCAGACGGGCCCCCGCCTTGCTAATAAACTGGGTACGTCCCCCTGTGCTTTGCCTCACTGAAACTCCTCCGGCGTATAGAACAAAACGAAAGATGGTGGCCGTTGTGCATTTTGCCAAGCCACATCCCTGCTTCTTTCCCCTTTTCTCGACCAGTATTCACGCGCCTGGACGAGAAAAGCCACCCCACTTATTGAATGTCAGAATTCGTCGTCCCTCCTCAGGCGTCCGTCCGCCCGCCTATGCGCCCTGGTCTCTCTTTTTGTTTTCCCGCCTTTCTCAGATTCTCTGTTGTCAGAAGGCTGCCCGTTTCTACTCTTCCAGCCGCCCTCGCTTCTCTCAAGTAAAAACACACTTGCATAACTATAAAAGTATTAAAATACACAGCGGCTCATTCGCTCCCCGTCTCTTCCTCTGGCTTAAAATTTCTTCCAGATAAATTACACATGAATAAACTCAACATGCCTTACCCCCAACTCTGAAAGAAGGTGTAAGCAAAACAAATTTTCTCCAGGATAGCCTCCTCCTGAATGATCAACTGTTAACATCTAGTGGAGCTGAGCAAATTACCCGTTTTATTGCCTTGCGCTCAAGATATTTGAGACTTAACCAAAGTTTTGCCCAGGCTCCTGAGTGGGAGGACATACCTTTTCTTCCTAAATGTCACGGATTGCAGAGACTCTTTCGTGGCCTCCTAAAAGAGTACGGCCACAATCTTCTTCAAAGTTTTGCATGCATGGCCCTCTTCCCTGTGGAAGCTGCCCCAGGAATCTCCCAAGGGGCAGGTCGCATGTGTCTCTGTATGCAACTGGCGCCTTCCACATCAGATCATGCTGACACCTTCGGCATTGGAATGCCCCGTGTGCATTAATATGGTTACAGGATGCTGGTTTAGGTGATGTGCCCTGCGTGTAAATTTTCTGCATTAGAACCCACTTCAGGTTTATGGAATCCCGCATACACAAATGGGTGTCCATGTATGTACTGTATTTACACAAGGATGCCAGAAAAAAAATACTTATTTTGTATTTGTCACACTTTCATGACCCTTTTCCCCCAGTGTTTTTCCCTGAACTCTCTTCCCCACCCCCATTTGTGTGCTTAGGAGTACATGTAGGTTTCCTCATGTATCAAGACCGTGTTAAGTGAACACAGAAAGAAGAATGTCTGAGATATATAGAATCATTCTGATGCTATCATCCCGGGCTTCCCAAACTGAAGTGCATTCATGCGCAGTAGGCAATTACTCCAACTTGCTGTGCTCCCCATATGATCTGGAAGCAGCCTTACAAAGGCCATGAGGGGCTTGCAGGAGTAGAAAAGACTAGCCACGGCAGAGACCCTGCTCCCCAACTTGCAGAGGACAGCAAGAACAAGGAGGGGAAGAAAAGGACAGTTACCACTTCCAAATATTTGACTTGACTTTGACAGCTTAATGAGCAAAGTACTGCAGGGGAGAAAGCCTGTCTTTAAAAAAGTGTGTTTCTGAAGGGAAAAACTCTGTAGTAGTTTCTTACCAACAGCATAATTCACACACATAGTACGCAAATCTACAACACAGTGCAATTGTCTGCATCCATAAGAATGATAAATTTGGAATACAGGAGCAGCACCCCTTGCCCCCCCATCCATCAACACCCGTGTTGCAGTTGCACACTACCAGTTTATAGTAATTATGTATACTGTACTAGAAAGAAGATGACTAGGACACAATTACAGTAAGCAACTGTCTTGAGATGGCCACTTTATTTGTCGCTTAGAGCTGTTCCACAATGTATATGGCAATCATGTTTGGGAAAGATATTGCTCAATGTCTTCCACACACAAAAAAAAACACTGAAAGTTCTGTGAGGTTTTAGTCAACTCAGAAAAATAATTTTGTAAGAAAAAGAAATGGGATGATTGTCATAAATGTATTTTTTTCACTTGATAGTTTTGAGATTTCTGATTACTGTACTCGGGTGGAGTCCTGCGGCAGAATAGATTTCAGTCTACAAATTCAGTTCATGTGTGCCACTTCAGTACAATGCAAAGGAAAATCCCCTGCACTCCAGACCAAGATATAACTTAATGCAAACAAGTGTCACCTTCCCTGCTTTTCATCCACAAAGGCCTGCTGTAAGGCCTGCATATCCAGTTTTTCTTGAAGCATCACTAGATACTGCTTTGAGACTGGTGGAACCCTCAAAGCCTGCCCTAGAGGGCTGGGAAATACCCTGGAGTAGATGGTAGGACATGCAGGACTGAAGAAGAAAAGAGAAATACTGCATACATAGGCTTCCCGGTGGTCTGTATCATAATGATGTATTTAATTTCATGTCAGCCATGTGGTAGGCTCTATTGCCACAATTTCCCCTTAATCAAGTTTAATCAAACTTTGCCATTCTGTTCTTTATTCACCTTCTTGCTGTATTTATGTAGATTTAGTTTTTATGTGATTGTTGTCCTTTGGAATTATCTGAAATAAGTTGACTTTTTTTCATTTTGCCCATAGCTGCTACAATGCCAGTCCAGTGGAAAACAATTCAGTGGAAAATTTTCATAGCTTCTGCTGCAGCTTTCTCATCGGGTGCTGATTTTCTCTGACTTCCAGGCTGAAGAAATTTCTTTATTGTAGGAATGTTGCTAGTTCTCGCTTTAAAAGCCTAGCAAGAGAAAATTTTTAAAATGTCATTCACAAACACTGCGATTTCACAGATAGAACACTTGGCAATGCCTGAGAATTTATTTGTCACATGAACAATCTAAGAATATTACCACTATATGATCAGTAATGAAACTGTTATAGGGGAGAATATATGTACCCAAGTGCCAATAATTTAAATTATATTTATCTGAAAAACTCCATTGCAAACCTGTAAATATAAGCAGGTTTCATATATGTCTAATTGATTTACAGGTGGTTTGTCCATGCATCTGGTCTCACACACCCTTCAGCCATTGTCCAATAGACCTTCAAGCCACCACTCAAAGCCAGCAGTGTGATATCCAGACAACATATAATGAACTAAAAACAGGGGTAGGCAAAGTACAGGCTATTGGTCAAAATGGCTTAAAAGAGAGAGAGAGAGAGAGAGAGAGAGAGAGAGAGAGAACAATTTTGGGGCTGCTTGTAGTCCATAGAGGTTGCTATAAGCACAGCTTCAACCTCCCTTAACTTCCTCCCTCCTGGTTTAGAAGATAATCTTGCTGAAGGGTGTTAAGTCCACCATCCTTCAACCCTCTACGAAAGCAGGGAAGATGTATAAAAATAGTCCTACTGCAATTGTAAGTAAATGCAATATATTGTTTAAAATTACATGTCACGTCCAAAATTTATTTGTAAATTATAATTTTTTTAAAAAAAAAAAGACAAGACTTTTACAGACTTGTTTATTCTAGGACCCATTTAATTATTTTGCATTATTTTTTAAATTCCTTAATCAATTGGTTATTGCCATTTTGAACTTTAGCTCCCATCCATCTCACCCATCATAGTTAATGGTAGGGATTTATGGAGTTACGGCTTGATCAGATTGGTATTAGTCCCATTCTTTGGGGTGTTGTGAGAGCAGATTGGTTCACTCTTTTTCTGGTGATCACACAGTGTAATCACTAGAGTGGACTGATTTGCCTGCAGAGTGCCCCTACCCATACCTTTCTCAGCCCCTTTCAGGGAGTTTTATTTTTATTTTCTATTTCTATTTAGATACAATCTCTGGAAATGTACCAAAATCTAGCCTTGGATTTATCAAAGCTCCTTCCATTGTCAAATTCTAGTATCTTTAAGAGGCTTAATAAGCAAGACACTTCAGCAGATTGATAAATTGAATGAACACTTCCCCTGCTTTTTTATGAAGGGACAGGGGAAGAGAAATTGTTGTTGTTGTTTAGCCTCTGCTAGATCATTGCTGATGCACTGAATTACTTAGATTCATTTTTTAAAAAATTCTTTGCATTTGTGTGAACTGCCAAATGAAACCATGGCTGCAGGCAGTTTCTCAATCAGTACTACACACAAAGCAAAGAAGTAAGTCAGCACACCAGCAATGGTCAAAGAAGAAGCCAAAAGTAGCAATTTCACATCCCCCACCCCTTCGCAGAGGATTGCTCCAAATGTTATATCACTCCTCCCCCTGACCTCTGGTGACTCCATTTAAACCACACCAGTCCTCACCAAAAGAGGCAGTGCAGTTGCACTCTTAATCCAAAAGATCTGGAGGACTAAACTTTCCCCAACCCTTGCTCTGCTGGATCTGGCTGCTTTCAGCTACCTGGCTGTTCTGTTCCTGCTGAGTTTGGATGGTGCAACTGAGCAGCTTTGAACCTGCAGGATCTACGAAGCGTTACCACCAGGCTGCATTTTTACAGTTAACGACTGGCCAAGAATTGCCTCCTTACCTTTAAAAGAGGGAAGCTGGAGAGAATATCACCCTTCAACTCTTCTGCTGCCAAAATGGTTTCAAGCAAAAGAACGTCTGCTTTGCTGAGCTGGTTTCCAACAAGAAAATCTTTTCCATGGCTTTTTAGAACCTACAGCAAAGGAAATATTTTAAGAGGCTTATACAGTAATTCTCCAGATAAATATAAAAGTTCTAACACTATGTTTGGATCCCTTCTGAAATCACCAATCTGGACTAGAGATGGGCATAAACCATCCCCAGCCTCCCTGGTCAATTACCCACTCACCACTTGGAGTGCTCTCATCTCCTCCTCCTCTTCCCAGCAGGAGCACCGATTAGCCTCTCCTGCCTCCTTGTCCGAGTGGGCAATCAACCAAGGAAATGGGGCAGGGAAGCCCATGCTCCTCCTGGGGACTGCTCAAGAGGAGTGCACACCAGTTGGTGAGTGGGGGATCCTGCTGGGGAGGCCAGGGAAGGAAACACACAGTACCTGTGATGCCATGTGTATGAACTGGCACATACCTCCAAACCGAGGTTCATTCCCATCTCTAATCTGGATGATACTGGATCATTAAATGAGAATAGCATTGGGTCTGTACAGCAATGGGACAGTTTTGACCACAACAGAAATGCAATGCTATAACAAAACAATCTGATTGTGCTCCACTTGCTAGACAACTGCATTGCAAATTGTTTAAACCTTTCTCTTTCTAATCTTGGTTTTCTCAAACCATTGGAAGTCATTCTTTATTTCATTCTAGTTAACTCAAGAGTACCCAAACTCACATGAACCCTTCCTGTGATAATGTACTGTATAGTTGTAGGCTTACTGCCTTGTACCTTTTCAAAGACTGGAAAATATCTGTTATTGGCCTTTTCAAGGATCGTTGTTAATTCCTTCTCCTTAGTATCAGCTGGTTTGTAGGGCAGTATCATAATCATTTCACTCAGATCCGCAGCACCCTCAAAATACATATCAATTCTGTAAAGACAATGTTCCCATAATATTGAATAGCCAGTTTTGAAACGAATCAAATTTATATACCTCAGTTTTTCCTAGTGGAAGTGCTCCTTCCTTTCAACTATACTGACCTAATTACAAATTAATGGGAATACTACTGATGACTGATTATAACAATAGAAAATGTCAATACTAATACAAATACATTGAATTACATATATAATCTGTACAATGAACACCCTGTATGATAAATCATCAGTAACCTCTTGTCTTCTTCTCCAAGATGGACAGGACTCCATAATAGTTATTAAGAGCACAATTTATCTAAAGTAGGATGCAATAGCAGAAATCCTGTTGCTTTAACTTACAACATGTAAGGCTGATGACATCATAAAGTAGAACAATATTTTTGGAAATTAAAAATTTCTAATCCACCATCACTCAAAAGGTTCCAAAGCTACTCTGGGATCATCATGTGAAATCCACTGGGATTCCATGAAGGGAAGGAAAAGTTGTCAATAATTCCAAAATTCAGTACCACTGGCATGACTTTACCAGGAGCAGCTATTCCTTGAAATTAAAGATTTCTCCTGTGCCCCCAATGGCTTCCCCACAATAAAAGGGATCCCAACGGAGCCCTGGGACCTTAATGGGGGCAGGCAAAAGTTTCCTAATCCAATTGTGCCTTTTGCAGATGAAAATCCCCTTTCCAATTTTTTTAAGTTCCTAGTTCTTGCTCATTCTTTGTCCTTGGGAACTTCAGCAGGAAAGGATGTTGCTTGTCCAATACTAGAGCAGACTCTTCCAAGAGAGGCTAAGCTGGCCCATCTCCTTGTTGCTCTCACAGTGGGTGATTGTTTGTTTGGTGGGCTTTTGGCAACGGATGAATTGTTTAACTGTCTTGTGGTATTTAAAGACCAAGCTTTCATAAATAAACTTACAACAAAACCCTTCAATATGCCATCCGGAATTCAGTGGGGATTAAGGAATTGTATATAAGATTGTAGCCTTATAGGTAATGTTTAGGTTTCGATATAGAAAACCCTCTAAGAAAAATCTCCTGTTATATTTCTCATATAATATGAGAAACAAAGAGGAATTTTTGGAAATAGAGCATTGAACTCCATTTTATGGGAATTACATGGAAGGCTAGAGCAATGGTGGGCAACATTTGGCCACCGGATGTTGCTGAACTAGCTTCTGTTTTCCTTTACCAATGACTATAATGGCTCAAGGTGGTGAGGGTTGTGGTCTAACAACAGGTGGACAGGCAGACGTTTGCTGCTCCAGGCTACATCACAAAATCTTGAAAAACAGCACTGACCCCAAATTATTTTGTTGTCAGAGCAGTTTTATTCATTCATCTGGCCTTGCTTTCCCCCTTTTGGACTACCTATTGTAGGTTATAGCCCCTTCATATCATCAGGAACACATCAGGAAATGTGCCCCAGCAGGAACTCATGGGAAGCACAGGAGCCATTACTGGGCAGTAGCTCAGTAACAGAAGATAACAGTGGTAACTCATTATCTAAAAGAACCAGCTAATGTGAACTCTGTTATGACTGAGAGGTCAAGTGACTTAATATTGCCACTCTGTGCGTTTTCTTGTGCTAGCTGGCAGTGGGAGTCAGTTGAAGCACATGGACTTCTAGTTTGTCAGGAGATCGCCAGAGAAACTGGAGATTTTTTCCTACTGTCATCCACAGGAAACAAAACTAGCCCATCTAGTAACCAAATACAGAAGGGTTACAGTACAAGGCTTTCTCCTTGATGTCTTTCCCATAGAGGTTGTATTTTGCCGCAATGTAGTTGATAATGGCTCGGGTCTGCACCAACTTCATCCCATCTATTTCCACCATAGGCACTTGCTGGTACAGGAGGCTACCATCTTGTAAAAGAACAAAAATTGGAGAGAAAGAAACAAGGAAGGAATAATTAGAATACCTGGATTAGGAACCATTTTCTGAAACCAGATGAAAAAAATAAATTTATTTAAATTCCTGAATGACTGCCATGATAGGGGCTTTGAAGGAATAATCACTTAAATTGTGCCTTGTAAGAGACTCAATTTATTTATATTGAGTGGAGTTCCTTGGGCATCCAAGAAGCAAACCGAGGGGAAAGCTTCTTTTCCCAGGGCCCACTGCGATCAGGCCTGCTGATGCCCGTCCAGGGACCCATCTGCCCTGAGCCATTCCCAGGCTCTGCCTGTCATCCAGCATCTCTAATCACAGCATTTTGGGCTGCCACCGGATAGGCTTCCCAAGGGTTTCTATCTCGTCATGACATGAGGCTTCTTCCCTTTACTGGGACTACATGGGCCACAAGAACAGCATGTGCTAAACAACGTGAGGGTTCTTCCCTTTACTGGGACTAGAACATGTAAGCAAGGGCCACAAGAACAGCATGTGCTAAACAACAGATGGATGATGTGCCATCCTGCTTCACACTTAATCCTGCCTAAAGCTGTGCACATATAACAGACACTTTTTGTTTTCCCCATCACAAGATTTCACAACCTCAAAAGGTGCAAATTAGCATGCTTTCATTCTGTGTTGAGTTACTGGGCAATAAATCTGAGATTCCTCTACAAGTTGTTCGAACAGTTTTGAAAAAAATGTGTCTGATATATTCTAAGTGGAAAGCTGGTGATTTGCCTGGTTTTGCTCCAGGAAATAAAAAAACACATCCAGAATGAATACACGCTCGATGTAACAATATAACCTCTCTGATTTTCATATACTGTACAATCATGCAAAAGGTTTGTATAGAATATAACTGCATTCTACTAACATCAATGAATGTTGTGCCATTTATCTTTGACAGGAGTTGTGTCACAATTTAGTTGTGCAATTCTGGAGGGTAATGTGGGATCATGATGTCAGGTATGACAGATTTTGTAGGAAAAAAAATCTTATATATACACCAAACAGACACTACCAAAAGTATACTGATGTCCTACTCACCATGCTGTAGTTTTTGCAGGTCTGCTTTTGTTTGAATAAATTGTTCTTCAAACTAAAAGCAAAAATAGTACAAAAGGATCTCTTAGAACAATTTTACACAGCAGAACCTTCATTTTTTTAAAATTTACAAACATCCTGACACCTGGAAATCTCTCACTAATCATTCCACCCATAGTCACTTGTGGGTTTCTTTTCAAACTAAAAACAAAAAAAGTACAAAAGGATCTCTTAAAACAATTTTACACAGCAAAACCTTCAATTTTTTTTTATTTACAAACATCCTGACACCTGGAAACCTCTCACTAATTATTCCACCCATAGTCACTTGTGGGTTTCTTGAGAAAGAGGTATTGTATGTAAGTTTTAGAAATGTTTTAATTGTCCTTAAATTAGTGGTCTTTTAAATATAATTGTATTTGATTTTAGTATTACTGTATAAGCTGTTGGGCAAAATCTTGTTTTATAAAGTTACATTGGTGTAAACCTGACCCAGTACTAGAAATAACTGATTTAAACTAATTGAGGTTTTCCTGTCCTTCCCCAGCCTCTAACCCAGTTGAGTGCCAAGACTGCCTTGGGGAAGTTTTTGCAAGCCTTCAGATAGGGCAGGGGGAGCCCTCAGTAGAGAAAAATTGCTGCCAGGTTGCCACCAGCAGCATCAAGACCACCACTGATGATCCAGTGCTAATTTTTGATTATTAAAGACTCACCCACTCCTTCAGCCTGAGGCTCATGATGGCCAAATCAGCTACTGTAGGTGGTCAATTTACTGTGACTAATGTTATAGCTTATCTCTCAAGCAGGCAATTAACATAAAGCCGGTGTAGAAACCACTACATTTCTCTCAGTCTTGCTACAATGTAGTAAGGATATGAAACCCCCTATAATGCCCCTTTTCCTTCATATCAACAATAAGTAACAAGGAAAAAGGATGAAGTTTTTGTCTGTATGGAAGTAGACTTATTTAGATGGGCTCATTCAGACAGGCATTTGTCCCAGTGTATGGTTTTGTGAGGGTAGATTGCTTTGCTCTTTTTTCCAAAAAAGCACATGATGAGCAGACCAATTTGCCCACAGGGCAGCCCAACCTACTCCTTTTTTGAACCCTCCCCATCTGGGGCTCCTACTTTTGGGGAGGCAAGTTGGCCTACTCTAGTTTAGTCTCTTCTCTGCAGATGGGGAGGGGAAGTGAAATTATTATTTTTTAATTAATTATTTTCTTTGCCTTTGTGTGGAGTGCTGATCCTACTGCTGTGAGCAATTTCTCCACCAGCATGACACAAAAACAAAGATTTCTTAAAAAATTTAAAAAATTAATCTAAGTGATTCAGTGCTTTAGCAAAAGTCAGGCAAAAATAATAATGTATCTTCCCCTGTTCCTCTGCAGAGGAGCGGGGGAGTATTTTATTGACAGGGGAAGGAAACAGAGGGTTGCTTGAGGTCGACATGCCCCAAAAGGTGTGTGGATCCTTCCCCCCTGACCTCAAGTGACCCAATTTAGACAGCACCAAAATAGCTACCTGTAGACATGCCCATAGGTAAAGGTTTCCCTTGACAATTTTGTCCAGTCGTGTTCGACTCTAGGGGGCGGTGCTCATCCCCGTTTCCAAGCCATAGAGCCAGCGTTTGTCCGAAGACAATCTTCCGTGTTCACATGGCCAGTGCGACTTAGACACGGAACGCTGTTACCTTCCCACCGAGGTGGTCCCTATTTATCTACTCGCATTTGCATGCTTTCGAACCGCTAGGTTGGCGGGAGCTGGGACAAGTGATGGGCGCTCACGCCGTCGCGTGCTTACGACTGCTTGGTCTTCTGACCCTGCAGCACAGGCTTCTACGGTTTAGCCCGCAGCGCCACCACGTCCCTGTAGACATGCCCATAGATGTGGTCTATTAGAGAAACTCGGAAGACAAACCTCAACTCCAGCTGCAGCCAACATCCACCTTATGGGTTCCATTCGGCCTCGTCCATTGAAGTAGTGGAGCTTCGGTTTCCCAGCCATGTTTTCTAATTTCTGTTTTCCTAGTTTGGTACAGACAAGATATCTTTTTTTAAAAAAAGGACAAGAAGGAGGACACCACAGTTGTATTTAATTTCTAGATTGTAATTCTTCACAACCATTTTGGATTATTTCTTAGTTTCAGTGCAGAGTAATTTGTAGCCCTGGACCGGGGTGTCCCCCCCCCCAAAAAAAAATAGCTCACGAGTCATCTAAATCTCTGGCATCTTTCAAAGGAATACAAAGCAAACAACTCCATAGTTCCTAAAAGCAAGCTTTCGTATTCCCAATCAAAGACTGTGATTTGCAACCTGGCTCTTCTTTCGACTCCAGCAGCCGCTCACTAGTCTTACTCAAGAGTCGGGAAGGGCAGCGCCCTCAGCTCAGCGGGGCCGATCTCTGGGCAACCGGGCACAAGGCGGTGTCCTAAATGACAGCGCAAACATTGGAATGATCGCACACTGACAGTGCAGGCGATGTATCCAAGGGCCTCACTCTGAAGGGAAAGCAGGTGCTCTTCTCGTCTCCCGGTGAGAAAGTCAGCGGACTCGCGCAAGGAAGCTGCGAAGTCCCGGCGGGGTCCGCGCCCGGGGAGGGGTCTTGCCTTTCCTTCCAAGGCCGAAAGAAGCCCGGAGAGGGAGGTCCGCCCCCGTCCTTTCCTTTTCCTCCCGTCGGGCCTCCGAGGCTCCTGCGCCGATGGGCCCTCAAGCGCTTGGCTCCGGAGCCTCCCCCTCTGGTCCTCAGAACACGGGTTTGCAGCGTTTGCTCTCTCGGGAGGGAGAGGGTGACCCAAGTGGGGGAGTCCCTGGAGGGCAGCGAGAATGGCCCCGCGGGGGGAGCTCTCTCTCTGTGTCTGTCTGTCTGTCTGTCTGTCTGTCTGTCTTAGAGAGATGCTTCTCTTCCCGCCGTCCTTCGCCCGAGGAAGCGGCGCCCGCCCTAAGGCGCTTTCTGCCTTTCCGAAATCCTGGGTTACTAACCTGAGTGGGATTGTTTGAAGCCCGGCAAGTTCTTCTCGAGGCCCCACCAGCTACGCCTGACACACACACACACACGCACACCCCCGCCGGTGCCTCGGCTATAAAGCCCTCTCGCAGCCGGCCCGCCCGCCCTCGCTCCCGCTCCGGAGGGGCAAGGGCCACCCTTGGGGAGGGGCAAGGGCTCGCTGGAAACAGGGAAGTGCCCTTTTTGTGCCAGAGCCTTTTCAGCAATTGCATAACCCTTTCCCCAAATTTAATCTGCCAGGAGAGATGCTGCCTCGTTCAGGACATGTCATGCTGGTGCAGCTATATTTGTCTGTAGCCTGTTATGTATACAGACCAGGCTTCCAATCCCTGCTTCTCCATGGAAACCCACCGGGGGTGGAGGGGTAGTGTAGAACTGGTAAAGCCCCTCATTAAATATCTGGCTTACCTTGAGAGCTCTCTTAGGTGCTGTAAGTCAGTTCCAACTTGACAGCACAGAACATGCACACACACACATCCCTGTACAGTATATGTTGATTATCTCTGGCTGCAGCACCTAGAACATGTAAGCAAAGGCACAGCATGCAGGAGCACTGAACTCTGCTTTTAGGGCAAGGGTCCTGGTCGTTTGATTGCCCAAGCAATTCACATTTCTGGACAAAATGGCACATTGTTGGCTTGTGACCTATGCGAGGGATGGCCGTTGTCACCTGTGTGTCACCTGGAGCATTGGAGAAACATTGGTGCCCCAAGAAAAGGGAAGGAAAGCTCCAAATATGAGAGGGCCCTAGTGACACCCTGTGATCCATTTGCACTATTGGTGGGACCTGGCAGAGAGATCTGGCTGTAGCAAGTACTGTACGAGTGGCCTGAAGCAGCCATAGGTGAGAACCTTAGAAGAAAGGTTTCATCCTTGTTTGGTATTAGTGAGCACCAGAAGCTAGGTTTCATTTTGATAGTTGTCATTTATATTCAAAGTAAGTGACTACTTATTTTGCCATTATTTTACTACAACTGCTGCTCCTTTTTAGCTTTGGAAAGAAAGCAAGAGGTACATGAAGGTTTTAAAAAAACCATTTCCCATATACCTACACCAAAACTCTTCTCTTGCGTTCCCTCTATCCCTCCTTTACAATCTCATTTTCTTACCCTCCACTTTTAATTTATTGATTCCCAAGTGGATTCTAGCAATACTGGCTGAGGACTGAGTCAAATTTCTGTTTGTCAGATCAGTGAGTCTGATGCCTGACCATCCTTCTAGTCATGTCAACACGTTGCAGCGTTCTACATGATAAAATCATTCTACATAATAATAATAAACAATTATTTCAATACTGTTTTACTACTATTTGTTGTAACACTTGCAATTTTGACACATACCCTGACAGTTAAGGGTGGGACTATGTTGCTACATTGCTTGAAGATCTTTGTGAGAGATCAGCCTTTATATGTGGTCTAGGTACTGTACAGAGCAGGGACGTGGTAGCACTGCAGGCTAAACCGCAGAAGCCTGTGCTGCAGGGTCAGAAGACCAAGCAGTCGTAAGATCAAATCCACGCGACAGAGTGAGCGCCTGTCGCTTGTCCCAGCTCCCGCCAACCTAGCGGTTCGAAAGCATGCAAATGCAAGTAGATAAATAGGGACCACTTCGGTGGGAAGGTAACAGCGTTCCGTGTCTAAGTCCCACTGGCCACGTGACCATGGAAGATTGTCTTCGGACAAAACGCTGGCTCTATGGCTTGGAAACGGGGATGAGCACCGCCTCCTAGAGTCAAACACAACTGGATAAAAATAGTCAAGGGGAACCTTTACCTTTACCTTACTGTACAGAGCACAGAAGAACCAATATCTTGATGTAAAAAAGATCACCTCTTTTTTCCAAGCCATCCTTATCATCTGTTGATTTACAACCTTCAAACCTTGTCTATAAGACCAATTAAACAATAAAGGCCACAAAGTTTCTATTGTTTCATTTAAAGCTCTGCATACCTGTGCATACACCAAGGCACCTCTTTAAAGTTCAGTGTGGTTTATTTCCAGGAAATATTTTCATAGGATTGCAAATGCTCAACAGGGCAATTTCAATGCAGATTAAGTGAGAAATTCTACTGTGTCCTCGATCTTATGTATAGGTTTATTTCTTTGTTGCATATGCAATGTCCTCCAAATATTTCATTAATATATCTGGTAATCTATAGGCATTTTTCAGTAAAATAGGGGTCTGTGATTTTGTGGGGATGAAGGGAGGTTGTCTAGCTTGGATATTCTTATCACCAGATGAACAGCCTTGAGCCTCTGCCCAGAACATCTGAGAGGAACAGGTTCTATGTTCCCCAAACAACCTTCTGTCACAAACAAGGCAGCCTTGAAATGAAAATGAACTCAAGGGAAAGATAATGAAGGTGATCTCTAGCATGCTGATTGCTAGCAGAGGCCAGAGCATGTCTGGGCATAGAAACGTATCACTAAGGGTGTGGTTACATTAGTGAAATAGTTTGAAATATGTGGTGGTTTTATTGAAATGGATTTAAAGTAATGTGGCCGTCACATGGTATTTGAATCCCTGTGTGCATTCCCTTGGGGCAACTTTAATCAGTTTTTTTCTTTAAAGTGCGGTGCTCATGTCGGAGAGTATGCTTGCTGTTTGAATCATGTTTATTTAAATGGTTGCATTTCCAAGACACCTGTGGACCATGATGTTTACATAACAATGTTGGAGTTCTTTGTCATACCCATGAAACCAGTATTTTGAGCGACAATTTTTTTGTTATGTTATCACCTATTTGGTGATTTTCCTTTTTGGGGAGTTTAATATTAAAAAGTGCCATAGTGCTAAAGAGATGTTAGCTTTTCTCTTTGAAATAAAAGAGTCCTGCTTATACACACATTTCCTCATGTTCCAGTTCGATTTAAGTGCAAAGTGCAGTTGTGTCAATGTCCCCACTGCCGCTAAGCCTCCTCACCATGACAATGCACTTCTACAAAGGTACTGCAGAGACTCTCTTCAGTCTGCATAGAGGTAGAACTGGACCTGTCAAAGAGATTACCTCTAAAAAACACTGAAGGAATTGTTCAGTGACTCCATCTAGAAACAAGTCTTGCTTCATTTACCTTCTCATGCTGTGAGACTTCTGCCTTATGTTCAGCCTATAGATTGGAATGAAAAGATTACAAATAGCTGTCAGTTTCCAGTAATTTCATTCCAGGAAAGCACATTGAAGAAATGTGATGAACCCAGAAATTTCCAGTTCAAAGAACTGGTGAGCTGTTCATAATATTATTCGTGGTTATAGTTTTTCAGGGAGTCTCACTGTGAAGAAACACCAAGCATCCCCTAGATTTTTGCTCCATTCAAACGGATATTTTAGGAAAGAAACGGGTGATGAAATGGAACAATTCCTATAAAAACCTCTCACTTCCTTGTTCATGTGTTGAGGGCAGTTTCACTTGTTAAACTCCTGAAGCCAGTTAGGAGACAAAAGTGTTGTGGCATCTTAAAGACTAATTGCTAGCCTTTAAGCAGTTAATCCCAGGTAGGTGGAAGGCAGCCCATCTAGGAAAAGGAAAACTCCAATTTCAATGAATATGGTGTTGGCTTTGCAGTCAGAAATACTCTGCTGAGATCCATTGTTCCACCTATTGTGGGGAGTGAGAGAATCCTATCTCGGCAGCTCCACTCATCAGCCAGACCGGTCACCCTCATTAGTACATATGCACCAACACTGTCATCTACAATAGAAGTCAAAGACAAATTCTACAAGCACCTACTATAAAAAAAATCCCCGAGAGAGAATCACTGTTCATTCTCAGAGACTTTGGTGCTGATCACAACTCTTGGCCCACTTGTCTAGGCTGTTTTGGCACTGGGAAGTTGAACAAAATGGTCAATACTTGTTGGAGTTTTGCTGTCACTATGGTCTTTGTGTCAGCAACATGTTCTTTAATACAGTGCTTCAACACATAGTTTCCTGGAGACATCGAAGATTAAAGCATTGGCATCAGCTCAATTTGATCCTCACTAGATACTCTAGCCTTCCTAGTATTATGACCACACACAGTCATCAGGTTGCTGATTGAGATACTGATCATTCCTGGTGTGTAGTAGAGTAAAACTGTGAACAAAGAGATTGTATCACACAAAAAAGGAAGGAAGACCACATATTGACATCAACAAGACTTGCGATCAAATTAAAATAGAGGAATTTGCCCAAGTGCTTGAGGAAACCCTTCCAGTCCTGGCTGATGCAAATGTACCTGAACGATGGGGACACTTCAGGAACGCTGTTTATAACATTGCCTTGTCCACATTTGGCAAGAAGACCAAAAAGACGGCAGACTTGTTCGAAACACATTTGGAAGAGTTGATGCCAGCCATCGAGAAAGAGAGCTCTAGCAGCCTGTCCTAGTGAGTACAACTTACAGGCTCTTCGAATTGCTCGTAGCAAAGTCCAACAGGCTGCCAGGAGATGTTCTAACGATTATTGACTTCAGCTCTGCTCTCAGATACAGGTAGCAGTGGACACAGGTAACATGAAGGGAATGTATGACGGTATCAAGCAGGCTTTAGGTCCAATACAGAAGAAACCTGCTCCTTTGAAGTCTGCTACAGGTATGATCATCCAGGACCGAGCACAGCAGATGAAACGCTGGGTGCAGCATTACTCTGAGCTATATTCCAGAGAGAATGTCGTAACCGAGGAAGCATTAAATAACATTGAGTGGCTGCCTGTCTTGGAAGAGTTGGACAGTGAACCAACTTTAAAGGTTCCCCTTGACAATTTTTGTCCAGTCGTGTCCGACTCTAGGGGGCGGCGCTCATCCCGCTCTTCAAGCCATAGAGCCAGCGTTTTTGTCCGAAGACAATCTTTCCGTGGTCACATGGCCAGTGTGATTTAGACACGGAACCAACTTTATCAGAAATAAAAGTGTCCATGGATTCCATCACCTGGCAAGGCACCTGGCAAGAATAAAATCCCTGCTGAAGTGCTATAAAGAGATCATCACCACTGAGATGTATGAAATCTTTTGTCTTTGCTGGAGGGAAGGTGGAGTACCACAGGACATGAAGGATGCAAACATCATCACATTGTATAAGAACAAAAGAGACAGGGGCGACTGCAATAA